CGATCTGATTACAAACTTTCGAAATCGATCTGATTACAAACTTTCGAATTTATCTATTTATGTCTAATCTTTTTAAGAAACTTTTTTGTTTGCATTTTTTTTTTTTTGTCACATGGCATTGTTTGAAACGTAAACCATGCATTGAACCGAACTTCTTAAGCTATTTGTTTATAAACCACTAATCAAAAAATTTTCATTCCACCACACGAAAGCAACCTAATTAGCATTTAAAAGCACTGTTAAAACCACCTATCAACCAATTATGTACTGGTCTTATAGAAAACATTTTTCTCCATGGTTCTCGGGAGGGCCATGTGATCTTCGAGAGGTCAATCCCGTGGCGATTTATTTATCATTTCCATATCTTCATCTCCAACTAACTGTAATTCATTTTATAGAAAAAAATAACTAATTGCAATTCTGAGTTTACACTTTACACAGCCTATAATATGAAAAACAGGTAAGGTCAGAACTCAGAAGATAAGAATGTGGAAAGAGTTTCATTCGTTTTTGTTCATTCATTTATTTTAAAGTGGTTCGTATCAAGTATGAGATTTAATCTCAAATAAACAATCTTAAACCGATCGTCCTGGGTTAAAAATCCCTTATATATTAATTGGAAAGTGATTTGTGAAAAAATGCTTATATGTCATCTCCACAATCACTCTCACTAAAAACAATTATGACATGGCTTGACAAAATTGTGACATGGCAATTTTGAATCAATAAAATTTTCTATAACTAAATTTATATTTGTTACCATAAGTAAATCAAAAAAGTTTTTAATCAATATATTATCATATTTTCGTTTTTATTGTAAAATTATATACAAATTTGATTTCTCATTTAAAAATAGTTTAGAAATTAATTATTGTAATAAAAAATTATAGAATATTTTTATAGAATATATATTCTTTTTCAAAATAATAATAATAAAGACTTACCAAATTTTTAAAAGATATTTTGATATGATTTTGAAAAAACTACCTAAGATTATAACAACAAATAAAATTATTCTTTTGAATTTTTTTTTAACTCAAGACAATTTGAAAGTAATAAAAATATTTTTTAAGTCAAATGCAACAAATTTTTTTAATGTGTTTCATTAATAAATATATGATTATATATTTTAAAGTTTTAATATATTTTAAATAATTTATTTGTATTCGAAATTCTACTTGAAGAATTCGTACAAGCCAAATTTAACATGTCTGTTTTTTTAACTCTAATGTATTAGATTATTATACATTTTGATTTGACATGTTTACATATATATAATAATTAAATGGTAAAACTAAATTTTTGAAAATATTATTATTAATAAGAATGATATTATTAACCAAATAAATTAACAACAAAAGAATCAACAACAATTTCTACAACAAAAATTAAAATAACTACATATTTCATATTTTTAAAAATTAAGATTAAAAACAAAATTACATAAATAATTTATCCGCGTACACGCGGAAGAATCATATAGTTTTTATTAAAGTCATTGTCGTTTTGTATAGCGGATATATAAACGAATAATTCTAACCAGACTCTAGGCTTAATAATACCGCATCGTGGTTGGACATGCATGGATTCTTTTCCTTGTGTAAAGGTTAACATATATCAAATCCTTTTTTTTGTTATTAAATAAATGAATGTCTCACATGATACTCTAGGCCAAATCATGAATGTTCGTATGTACGAAAAAAGATTCCAACTTTTTCTAAAAATAATTAAAAACTAGATGACCTAGGTTGCTGTTCATTAGAGCCACATCCACTAAAACTATCATAAACGCTAACATCTTGTCCTCACGGTAATTTTTTTTTTAAGATGCCTCTAGTTTTTAACTCAAAAAAGGCTTTTTCATACATGAACCATCAACCATGGTTACAGAACATATATAAACTATATATTTGTGCTAGTTCATACATCAATTCATATAATTCGGCTAAAATATACATTGACAAATCAACAAGTGTTGACTTAGCTTCCACGTTACCGAATCATCAATAATTAGCTGACGTGGCATCTGAATCATCAGTCATGTCATTAAAATATTTTTAATCATAAAAAAATAAATATTACATTTAATTTAAAAATAGTTTAATAATAAAAAATAGAAATTTTAATTAATTTATTGTATATGTAGTCATATAATATTTGATTTTTGGTGTATGTGAAAACCATATTATTTTCTAGTGCATGTAAAACCATATCATTTTCTTTCTAATGCATGTAATAGTGGTTAAAAACCATATCATTTTTAGTATTCTCGTTATATTTCAACCCTTATTTTTTTACATCATATGGAAAAAAATGAAATGGTTTTTATAGTTTTTACATGTACCAGAAAGAAAATATCAGGATTGAAAAAAAACGAAAATGCTAAAAGTGAAAAAATGTACATGTCGTGTCTTATTACTAGCTTACCATTGAGAAATTATATAAATAGCTAGAGAATAAAAATTTTAAAAGTATATTATGTTTTATAAAGAAATCAAATTTACGTTATCTTTCAATCCTTTCTCGAATCTCATATGATTTGAGGGACGAAAATCTTCGGAAAGCATCTCGATATTTTCAGTGATTTAAGCATATTTTTTGTGCTACACTTATATCTAGGATCATGAAGTCGATGTATTTTTGAGTGATTTTAGCAAACTTTTAGAAAATAAGAAAAAATAATTACGTGTATAATAAATTATTATAATTTCTATTTTGTTATGATTAAAACTATTTTAAAACTAAATGTAATTTTATTTTATTTATGACTGAAAATATTTTGATGATGTGGCTGGTGATTCAGCTGCCACATTAGTTGATTATTGATGACTCGGTGACGTGACAGCTTACTCAATACTTGTTCATTTGTCAATATGTTTTAGTCGAATTATTTGAGTTGATGTATCAATTGACACATATATATAGTTCATGTATGTTTTGTAACCATGGCCGTTAGTTGTCGTATGAATAAACTATTTTCCCAGTTTTTAACAGATGTAGCTGGAAATCCACCAAAACAAAAATCCTCCTAAGCTGAACTGCATTTTGCTATCCAAGGGGGACTCCTCGTGGTGGAACCAAACTTGGTGAATCCTCAACACATATATCATTAAATATACCATGAAGAATAACTTGTTGATTGTTTTCACCCATCTCGATTTTGTTCGAATCTGGCTTTTCTATTTTCTTGTTCTAGTGTTGCGAGATGTTGGGTCCGAGATGTTGGTTGGTAAGTGATATCAAATCTTCAGAGGCTGTGTTTCTTCTCGTTATGCACTTGAAACACAAACTAGAGAACAAGAACTGATTAATACTTTTTTTTTTGTCAGAACAAGAACAAGAACAGATTAATACCTTAAAAGAAAAGTTTGACTAAACTCTAGTCTTAGATATATAGGTAACAATATTTGGTCTCCGGCAACGATACCCGAAATTTAATACATTAAGTTTTAACCGTAAAAATATCATAGCAAATGAAATAGTATTGTAGGGGTCGAATAGACATAGACCAAATGTTACTCAATAAATCTAAAGGCTGATTGGCATAAAGACTGTCAAGACTTTTACTTTTCATTATGTTTTTAACCAATAAAACTTTTTCGTCTTTTTTTTCTCTACAGTCTTAGTTGTCGATTTTTTTTGTTTACTCTTTAAAATTTTATTTTTTCTAAAGTAAGATAGACAAGATTTTTTAGTGGCTGTACTATTTTTGACACAATCAAAATACATTTGAGATGATTAGAAAAATGAAAATTTATTAAAACAAAATTTTATTTAATTAATCATTAACATTGTTTCTCTCTCTTTTAATATCAATTTTGTTGGTATGTCATTTAATTAGTTAATTAAACATTTTGTTTGTTCATTATGTCAATTAAAGTTCT